GGGTGGGGGGATGGATGAGTAGTATTACAGGAAAGTGTGAGAGATCACATTTTCCATAGATAAGTTTGGAGAGGAAACAGTGGTGTTCATTTAACCCTAACTGTCTGTAACTTCCAAGTAAAATGAATGTATCGCCATTCTTGAGAGAAATATGTTATTTTTGGTAAAAGCTATGAGGTGGTGGTATAGAACATGAAATATCCCATTCCCACTTCAAAGTTTCTCATTGTTGCTACTCACAGAGGAGAAGCCAAGTCAAAATGTCCTGAATAAGCAATTCTCTAACGAGAAAGGCATCTTGTGGAATCTGGAAACTAAAGAATTCTAAATGCCCCATTTCTTTAACATACAAATCGCAAAAAAAAAGATGTGGGAAGTTCCATTTTTTACCAAGTACATTAAAAATACTTTTTGTCAAATGCGCCCAACATGTTTAACTTATGTGCCACTGGCTTTTTAGGTAATAAATGTACCATAAAAGTGTCTGCCCTCCCAGACTCTCCAAATGCAGCCATTACAACTCTCGAGGGCACATTTTCACGTGGTAGCTTGTGTGCTGAGGCCACTTCATCAGGAAACCATGGTGGGTCTGGTCCAGGTGCCCATCTAGAGTAACTGAGGAAATTCCAAGGGCCTTCTATCGAAACGGCATCTGATTTGGTTTTTGGTATCTCTACCAGAAAACAGAACTCCAGCCAGTGTGCTCAATCCAGGTTAGTTTCTGCAAAAGGCAGTGTGAGCTGCACCTCTGCTCTCTTGCACTCACTATTCTATGGGTTTGTGTGAGACAACCCGTCCGAGGCGCGTGGAGAAAGCGGCATTGTTCCACGCTGCTCAGCACAGGGCCTTATTCATCTCTCCCCTTGTTGTTTGCAGGAGAGGCAGATGTGAAGCAGTACAATGGGACCCCCTCTAAGGACACAGCGGTGACAGACCCCAGTCGCACAGCGGACCCAAAGAATGCGTGGCAGGAGGCCAGCCCAGCTGACCCAGTGAGCCGCCCCCACTTGATCCGCCTCTTTTCCCGAGATGCCCCAGGCAGGGAGGACAACACCTTCAAAGACAGGCCCTCAGAGTCAGACGAGCTTCAGACCATCCAGGAAGACAGCGCAGCAGCCGAGGGCTTGGATGTGATGGCGTCACAAAAGCGATCCTCCCAGAGGCACGGATCAAAGTACCTGGCCACAGCAAGTACCATGGACCATGCAAGGCATGGCTTCCTCCCAAGGCACAGGGACACGGGCATCCTTGACTCGCTGGGGCGGTTCTTTGCCGGTGACAGGGCTGCGCCCAAGAGAGGCTCCGGAAAGGTGAGCGCTCAGGAGTAGAGGAGCAGCAACTGCGTTTCTGCGTTAGTGTAAAGGAAATCATAGTAGGTGAAGTAAGCCCTCAGAGGCCGCGCGCGCTGGTGTAGCTAGCCGCAGGTGACTCTTAGCTGCATTAAGTCCTGCTGAAAAAGGCTCACAGGTCCCAGGGAATGGGCCTGGGTTGTTGCTTGCAATGTTTTCACTTTACTCGCAACCTTTCTCATCCTCACGAGGGGTTGTAATTGGGTTGTGGCTCAGGGATGCAAGAACACTCTGGATTCTTGATCCTGAGGTGGTTGGCTGTGGGCATGGCAGACCCAGTGCCATACTCCTGGGGTCTCCCGTGCCCTGTGCTTGGGGTGTCTGCAGCTGATTATGCCCCTGCTGTCCACCCTTTGTGCTGACATTAGATCGTGCTGCTTTTTTCTTGGAGTCTGTGCTGCTTTGCGACAATCATACGATTGAGTTGGAGGAGGATTTTTGAACAAACTCCTAAAATTCAAATCTGCCTTGAGCAAACTTTCTCTTGTCTGAGTTGCTTAGTGGAAGGGGGTGGGGAATAAATGAGTGTGTGTGTGAATCAAAGCTTTATTATTTTGTTATTCCGTTAATTTGAATATAGATTCTGTGAACTCTCAGTATTTAAAGCGAATCTTCTGTAGATAAAAATGTCTGGCAAGAAAACACACTCCCATTGTGGTTCAGTTGCCAAAAGTGGCTTCTGTAGTTGACAGGGAGTGGATAATCTTGTGGCTGATGTTTCACTAAAGAGCTCATCCATGAGTGGCAGTTCAGGGACCAAATACATGGCATTGCATGTGATTTTTAGAGTGTTGGGTCGCTGGCTAATTTTGGAGAGAGGTTTTTCCAAATAAGCCGTGGTTTATGAGACGCTGTCTCTACACGCCAGAAGCACCTTTTCTCTGGCTGGACATTGTGTTTATTTGGAAAGGCCTTTGGGAACTGAAGAGGCTTTGAATAGAGTACCTGCTTCATCATGGTAACATACCATCCCAAAAGCCCTGGGGCATCTTTGGAGTTATGGAGCTCCTAAAATGTGCATTAGTGCTTTAGTCTCCAACTAGAATTCTTAAAATTACTGACAGTGGTAAAATGTCAGTTTACCTGTTGTCTGGGTGTTTCAGCACATCCAAGTCTTGGGCAGTGTGCACATCTGTAACATCTGCTCCAAGCTGAGCTCACTTGTTGAGACACACGCGTCTCCTGGCTTATTTGTAAATAACACTCGGCACTTCTAAGTGCTCATGGAACTCATTTGCTGGCTGGTTCCTTCAATGTCTGCATTTGTAGACATTTTATCCAACTTTCCGGCAGTATTCTCCCCCTGAAATCTTGCTCATCTGGCCATTCCTAATGCTAATTTCAACTGGAGGTGCTTGTTCAAGCACAGCTATCAAACCCTACCAGGTCTTGGGGAATTCAAGCTGACTAATGAGGTCTCGCTCTTCTGTGAAGCCCTAGATGTTTGCAGTGCCCAGTTTTGAAACCCTACGCTAGTCCATGTAAATCAAGGAGCAGGAATAGCGTATTTAAACTGTGCAGAAAAGATTAATTGTCTGATAGCATACATTATAAACCAAGCTTCATTTGATTAGTAACAGTTTAAGGCGAATTAAAATTGTGAATGCATTTATATTAATCCATCAAATTGTGATTTTATCTCAAAATGGATATATTTACAGGTTGTGTATAAAGGGTTGTGTGTGTGTGTATATATACATATATATATAGTTACAACCTGTATTATTTTAAATCTCTTATACTCCTCATTGTTTTTAAAGAAAAAGTTCTAATGTCATCCTCTTTGCAAAATAGTACTGAACAGATTATCAAGGATCCAGAGATATAAAAATATTTTCACAGGATTTAAAAAATAAAACCAATTCTTAAATAACTGGTTTAAAATTTTTGAAGTATTGATTCTGTTCACTACTGCATGTTAAATACAGAAGATTTTTAAATTAACAGTCATGCTCAGTGATGCTGAAGGAATCAGTTAGTTTGCATATAGAATCATGTATTTGCTTATTACAAACACAATCTGTAGTTACGTCGTTGTGGAGTATTGTTGCTAAAAGTACGTGGGGGGAATTACTGGCAATATTTGTTCAACTCAACTGTTTTAGTGTGGATTCTCTGCTTGTTTGTTTGTTTTTAAATACTAGAGATGAGACGCAAGCTTAATACACCGTGTACACAGTTAGACACCCCCATCAACCCTGGAAGTCTGGGGTATTTATCGGTGTGGACTACTGTGGGGTTACTTTTGACTTTTTGTTTTTTATTTGCTTAGTCTATAAATCAGGAGAGCCCTCATTGTACATGCTAGGAAAGGTCTTTTGGATTCCTTAAGGAGCTTTCAAAGAAGAGAATCAAAAGCCTGACTGTTGTCATTCACATCATTATCTAGTGCACATGGGAGGCTGAGGGCGGACGGTGGAAATGAGAGCCGCCTTCTCTGCCTGATGTGCCATTTGGAAAGTGACCATTCTGCGTCTGTGTCGAGACCCGGTTGTCCATAGATTAGCACAGTCTCTGAATGGAGCCCCTCAGCGGTCCTTTCAGGGGAGCTGTCTGTCCCCGGCCCACCACCCTCCCCCCATGAGAATCACACAGCGCCACTTGGTGCCATGTGTCAGAGCTGCCCACATGGTCCTTGGAATGCACTGGCAACACTCCCCCTTTGTGCGGCTGCAGAGTTGACATTCACGGAAAGTGCACTATAAATTCCTTGAGGAGGCATATTTTTTGAGAGCCCAAACTGAAAAGTGCGTTCACAGTGAAAATCCTTTGTTGAAAGAGAAAATAAAGGGGGACTGTGTTGTTGCCTTTAAGAGACAGGTTCTCCAGTCCCTGGAATGCTGGAGCAGGCAGTGAAGATGAGAGACACACTTGGCCTATTTACAAAGGTGTCTCTCCTAAATTGTCACCCTTCACCTGGTGCTTGGTTGTCAAACACATAGGACCCAGCACCGTCCCTATTTCAATACCAAGGTCTGAAACAACTGAGGCCTGAAAAGCCAAAGCCTTTGAAACATGAGCTTTGCAAATTGCTCTTTTCCTTTTAATCTAGAAGAAGCCAGGTTTTACTAATAACTAAGCTAGACCCCAGCGATAGATACAACATCTGGATAATTCACATGTGAGAATGCAGTGAGAACACACTGGTCTAATGTGGTCTTTTTCTCCCCCATATCATTATATTTTAAGGAGTTTTCTTACTTAAAAGTAATTTTTTAAGCCAACATCTAAACTGATAAGATGATTTGAGCTGCCTATCTCTCTTTTTTTGCACTAAAAGCTTCATTTATAACCTGCTTTTCTCAGCCCTCTGTGCTTTAGCATTGCCTATGGCTTCTCTGCCCATCATTGGGATTTGAGGGGTCAGAACAGTGTCTGTCCTTCCATGCTACATGGCATTTATAAAACTGAAAATTAACTAGAATGTTCTGTGTCCTGGTTTTGTTTTGTTTTTTTCAATTGCTTTTTAATTTCATTAAACACATGTTAGTTCTACAGTACCCTAATTCTTGATTGTTTGCATGGTATCCTAATTTTGCAAATGTATTCTGTAATCCTGTGGGGAAGTGTAACATGTGAAGATGGCAAGAAGGACACAGTAGGGGGCAGTCCAGCGGGACACTCTGACGTGTCTGTCCCCAAATCCAGGAGGGTAAGGCCATTGGCCAGCCTTTCACACCACTGGTATGTGGCACGTGAGCTGCACGCACTCATTTTCGCTGATGCGTCTTGGCTCCCAAGGGTGCAGCAGTGCTTGAGCATTGAGCTCTTTTAAGATCTATCTATATGGGTTCAGACTGACAACAGCAACTCAGAAGATTAGATAGGAAGCTTAGGGGGCAGTGAGTTTATGTAATGGGGGAGGAACAACTGGAAAAAGGAAGGTGAGAATGATTGTACCACTCAGAGAATATAATCAACATCACTGAACTGTACATGTAGAAATTGTGGAAATGGCACACATTCTGCTGTGTATATTCTCAACCAAAAAAATAAATTATAAAAACAAAAGAGTGCAGCAGCACACACAGGCCCACCTTGAGTTTCCGCATGAATCTATGTGGCCGAGAGACCCCCCCGACCTAGTACATCCATTTGCCAGGAGATCTGCTCAGAGATCCTTAAAGAAAATGCAAACATGGCGGGTGGATTTTTTTCTGCACCCAACAGATACTGTTGGAGAATTCTTACTGGAGTCGCTCTGAGGTATCATTACTCTGATCGGTTATTGATCAGAGCTGTATTATACTCAAGACCAGCCACCTACTGTGTCCTTCGGTTGTCTCGATAGCTCAGTTGTCCACTGTTATTTAAAAAGCTGGTAGTTAAATGAGAGTTTTGTGTCCCTGTGTTGGCGACAATTTGCTGCATCTTCTGTATAATGATACATTTGTAAATTATGTTTGTGTATTTAATGGTGATTGCCTCCTGGTGATTGTATTACAGTTTGATTTTGACATGAACTTTTGCTTTATATATTTTCTGCCTTTTATGCATTTATTAAACTGTTTCACAGACCAAGAATGGTGTGCTAATTGTGGGGGAAGTTTTCTAAGTTCTGTTTTGGTGTTGCTACATGAGTGGATGTGTTGTGTGACTGGTATTTTCATGGCCTCATAGCACCGTCACCTACAGGTAAGTCTGAGGGTCTGACGCCAGTCCCTTCCACACATGGGGGCCCCGTGCCCCACTCTTCTTTTATACACAAAGAGATGTCATTCTTTTTCTCTCTGTGGACAGGTCCCGGCATTCTAGTCTTTCTGTTATGACTGATCTTGTTCTGCTGGGTATTTTTAATGTTTGTCACAAAACACTTCCCTGCAGTTAGGGGAAATGTGGGTACTAACTCTATTTCCCTTTTGTACTGTATGGAACACAGTGGACTCAACAGATATTTATTGAATAAATGAGCAAATGAGAGACTGAATCCCCTCTATCCTCCCTGATGGGTATATATCTGAAGGGTGTAAAAGTAACACTCGAGGAATTGAAATTAGAGATGGGCTGGCTCTTCTTAAAAATGCAGTGAGTTTTTAAGATTAAGGGTAAATCTAAGGTTGTTTATAAATTAGAAATAAAAGCAAAGGCCATGGAACTAATTTTGATGTAGTCTGCCATTCATCTGTACGGAGTATCCTCCTGGCAGACCCTGGGTCCTAACTCATCTCCTCCATTTAAACTCATTTTCATCTGAAGGCATTTATTTCCATCATCATTGATTTTCTTGTATGGGATTAGCCATTTGCTAACAGGCAATTCTGGCTGGTCGATGGAGAGCTTAGCTTGGCACCTGGGCGTAGGTATCATTGTTAGAAAATAAAACTCCATCAACGGAGCTCACGTGGAAGTCCCTAAGAAACTTATTTCGTCTATGAGAACTGTAGACATTTCTTATCAAACTCTTGATTTAATACATTATCTTAGGGTTTTGCCATTTTTTGTCTGTCACCACACTCTTAAATGCTCTGAAATCATCTTCATAAAATATCTGAAAAGGAAAAAAAAACCTAAAGAAAAATGAGCTTTTCTGATGGAGCCCCATGAATGGGGGGCTTAACAAATACAATTGTCTTATGAGGCTGCTCTTGACCTTTTGTCTTCCCCTGGCTCACTGAGGGGCCCACCAGTTATGGAATTGCTTGTTTTCCCCGTGCTTGTACTGAAGCAGTTTTACTTTTCTGATCCAATGTGTGCCCCAGGCCTGAGGCAGGCAGCCTCCTCTGCAGCCTTGCACAGATGGACCAAAGCTTGTATCTCTTCTTCCTGCCACTGTCTTGGGGGGAGAGGGGGCAGTGCTGACGAGCCAGGGTCACATGCTGCATTTCCTGTAAACCAGTCAGCTCCCGAATGGGCCCCCCATACCTCAGCCCCACAGACTTTGCCCACCCCCACCACCCCGGCCCTTGTCCCCCGATGTGTGGTGGCCAGGGGTCCAAGAGGCCAACGGTATAGAAGGCTGTACAGAAACCCACAGAGCCACTTGAACATTCCAAGAGGCCAACGGTATAGAAGGCTGTACAGAAACCCACAGAGCCACTTGAACATGTCTTGATGTGACAATCCTTCTCATGGAATCCAGACTTTCTGGAGCCATGAAGGCTAGATGAACCTGAGATAATCTTTAAACCTTCAGCCAAAAATATCCCCTGACGTTTTCTTAAAACCAAACGATAGGTTAGCTTAACTAGTCAAAATGTCTGCCTTGAGCATTGTGCTCTTTTAAGATCTATCTATATGGGATCAAATTGACGACAGCAGCTCGAAAAATTAGATTGGAAACTTAGGGGGCAGTGAGTTTATGTGAATGAGAGAGGAACAACTCAGAAAAAGATGGTGAGAATGGTTGCACACCTCAAAGAATGTAATCAATGTCACTGAATTGTACATGTAGAAACTGTTGAATTGGTGTTATGTTTTGCTGTGTATATTCTCAACAGCAAAAAATAATTTAAAAAAAGAAGGGGCATTGTATTAAATAAGGGCAAATAGATAATTCTTCTTTGCCTTTTGACCAAGTTTATGATACTGCCATACCCCCTTGAGGGGTGTCACTCTCGTGAGGACAACCAAATCTAAAGACAGTAACGAATGCAGTAACTGTCCACTCACACAAACTTTAAAATACTCCAAGTCCTTACTCTCTTAAATACCTAGTACTGTGAATTAAATTCACCAGTAGTCCTTGCTACCACACAAAAGAACCTCTCTTGCTGAGAGAACCTGTTAGGGAATATACAGCTAAGCACACGCTCATGACAGATTTGTCTCTGGAAACCCTAGCATGTTAACGCTGCAGTAATATTTCTAGAACACACTAACATTCTTTTGTGTCATAACTACTGTGCATTTCCATGTATAACCAGCTGTTAATCTGGATAAAAGGTCTATTTCATCTACAGCCAGTAGGAGACATCTCTTGAAACCTCTTACGTTGATTTTATCTCTTGACTGCTCGAAGGCTCGCTCTTTCTCTCTGGAGCCATTTTGCTCAAATAGAGAGAAACTTCCCACAGTCGTTTCTCTTGTTCCTGTGATAATATTTTCTCAGCCTCATCCCTCAAATTTGACTGATATGGCAGTTAGAGTCAGATAGCTAATAGAACAGGGAGAAGTCACTAAATTTGGAGCAAATACTATTTAGAAGCATTTACAACAGCAAAATAAGGTGAATACATTCCTTATGTCAAGGACTATTAAGGCGTGGGTGTGTATCCCTAAACTTCACCAACAAAGAACATCAGTGGGAAAACGCCAATTCAGGTGACTGGTTGGAGTGATTTGGAACACTCCATTGCTCTTAAAATTATTTCCTTATGCTATGTGGAAAACTTGAAAAGGCCGAACAATGATAGCAATGGTGCCTTAGCCCCCATGAAACAGGAATGATGGCTGCTTATAAATCTAACACAGGAGCAAACACATTTACTATAAAAAGTTTTTAAGAATGCTACAAATAAAATTGAATGTAAAATGTATCCATTTCCTTATAGACTCAAAAAGTCCTTGTAATGCCCCTTCCACTAGGCAGGAAATACCTTCCTACCTGCTTTTAGATGTCGTACATGCCTGGTGATGGCTACAATTTTAAGAACATGTGGCAGCCTAATTTGGTGCACAGCCCCAGCATGTAACGTGGATGTATCTCTGGCCCAGACACCACGTCTGTGTCTCTACTTTTCCATGTGTTCTTTGTGTCACCTCTATCTTTTCACCTCGTTGTCCCCACCCAGTGTCCTCACCAGCCCACCCATCCACCTTCACTCATCACTCACCTCCTGTTTCTCTCCCCCCTGCCCGGGTCCTGGGCAGCCGGCTCAGGAGCGGAGGCGTGGTGGTGTGCCCATGTGCTGGCGTGCCCTGGGCTATGCCCTCATGCCCACGCCACACTCATGGGCCGCTCTGTGTCCCCCGGCAGGTACCCTGGCTAAAGCAGAGCGGGAGCTCTCTGCCCTCCTCTCCCCGCAGCCCACCCGGGCTGTGCAGCTTGTACAAGGTAAGGCACTCACGGGCCTCCCCATCAGTCCATGCGCGTGTGGCACTGCTGTCCTTGTGGCAGTGCTGTGAACGCTGAGTACTTCTCTGAGCCCGGAGCCACATGGGCGAGGCTGCTTGGAGCGTTTACACGTAATGAACATGGGCAGTGTCACAGGGTGCCTGGTCGTCCAGAAGCATGGAGTCCTCAGAGGGCATTTGTAAGTCACGGCAGAGCAGGTGAGGCTGGTCCTAGAGGAGAAGCACAGAGGAACATTTGGGAAGACAGAGAAAACCTCAGGAGGGTGGAGAGAACCCACTGTGAGTCACATGTGTGGGATGTTTGTGGCTGGGCCGAGATCGAAGGCCTAGGGTTCCTGTCAGGTCACTGGAGGCACTTCCCCGGAATACGCAGTGGTAACCATCTACTGCCTTTGCCGTTAAGGACATCTTATGAGCAGCCGATGTGTTTTCCTAGAAAAGTTAAGCCTGAGACCACAGTCTGCCTGTGTTCATGTCTTCTCTGAAGACTAGTGCCTAAAAGATGTTTAGCACTCACTAAAGATCAGTTGGAGTCTCTGGGTGGTTCAAACGGTGAACGTGCTCAGCTACTCGCTGAAAGGTTGGAGGTTTGAATCCACCCAGGGTGCCTCAGAAGAAAGGCCTGGCAATCTGCTTCCAAAAAATCAGCCATTGAAAACCATGTGGAGCACGGTTCTACTCTGACACACCTGGGGACACCATGAGTCAGAGTTGACTCAGTGGCCACTGGTTCTGGTGACTGGTTAAGTATTAGTTGAGTTAAACTCAAAAACAAGGAGTGTCCCTCAGGCCTTTCTCTCCTTGCACTCACCGTGGGATGCAGGACACACTCTGAGATTCCCCCCATCCTCCTCTCAGAGCAGGTGAGTACATGGGGGGTGCGAGGAGAGCAGGGAGGGGAGGCGAGGAGAAGGGCGCTCCGCACACGCCTGGACCAGCCTGGGTAAGATCTGTAGTGCGGGCTCTGAGACCTCCCGGCCTTGCTGTCAGCTCACGCCTCCCAGCTTCCCAGCAGCATCCGTCGCCATGGGCGCCTTAGAACCTGGCCTTTATAACCTGGAAAATGCAAAAGGTTGAAAGCAAGAGCTTGAACTCAATAAAATATTGAATATCCTGACACACTTAACTGAACGCAGATGTGAGGTTGATGAGCCAGTTCCTCTTCGAAGATGTGGAAGGTCTGGGAAGGAGGGAGTGCTCCTTATACGAGGAATGGGGGGCAGGCAGATGGGGATCACTCCTGCAGGCCAGACTTGGGCCAACAGAAGATTAACTTCTGCCCCGTGTGATGGGCGTCAGAGCCATTGGGGACCCCAGGGTGTGGGAAGCCAAAGCTCTGGGCCGGGTCCACAGGAGAAGCTTCTGATGTATGGGCAGTACCCCTACAACTGGGAATCAGGTATGTAGGGATAAGGGATGCTCATTGCAGCAGAGAAGCAGGTACGTAAGGACAAGGGTGCCCACTGGCCTCCAGGGCAGCCAGTCCAGGTCGGGAGGCCCAGAGCACAGCAGGGAGAAAGCCAGGGCTGGATGGGCAGGAGACAGGACAGAGCTGATGCCACTGGACACTCGGACGCACACAGAACCGATGACGGTGCCCACAGGCCTTCACGCGGCGTAGCCGACAGGCAGGCTGCTGGCTTCATCACAGGGTTTGCTCAATAAAGCAAAGCCACAGGGGCCGGGCACCATCCCTGAGAAAGTCCGTGTGTCAGACTGGACACCAGGTCAGCTGTCATAGTTGTGCTTGCTTTTTAAAGGGATCTCACATGACTCCTGTTTTTAGAGCAAACACTCCTAACCATCAACCCCCGCCCATGGTTTGGGAGCCCTCCCACCCAGGAGCCCCCAGGACCCCTCCCTGCCCAAGTCTTTTCTGGAGGGTCAGGCATTCTGGATGAGAAGTCCGCGTTTTAGTCTCCAGCAGCGAGGGCACCACTGTACCAGAGGAGGGTGGAGGAGGAGAAGCATGTCTCTGTGGAAGGCCAGAAAGCAGCTACCCTCTCACTTCACCCGGAACAACCCTGGCCCTCCTCTGAGACGCGGTCATCAGAGAGCAGACGATTCCTCAGAGAAATGGAGACACTCTCCCCAAAGCCCAAAGCAAACAGATGGGGAAGGCAATAGAGAGAGCGGGACTTCAGTGTTCAGATAATATGGAGAAATCCTAGCAGAGC